TCCACCGGTGGAACAAATACACTGGATCATTTCTACACAAAATATTCCTGACAGCTACAAAGGCCTCCCCCATCCCCATCTTGGTCTAACAAACCTTATACCATGGTCTGGGTGAGATACTTAATTCTGAGGGCTGCTGGGTGTCTATTAATACCTGATGTAGGACACCTACTAAGTAGTTCCAGTGAAACTGTCTGCTCACAGTTCTAAATTGATATTCTGGAATAAATTGAATGAAAACAAAATCTAGCTAACTAAATATCTCATAACACTGAATGTAGTCCATCAGTGCCTCATCCTCTAAATATGATGGCATATGTAATACACAAACTCCTACACTGACCATCTGAAATCAATGATAAGTAGGCTGCAGCCGTCAGTACACATGCCTTATCGTTGATCTTGATATTGATTTGGGGACAATGACATGGCTTGATGGCTAGTTTGTCTTGTTGTTAAACATTGTGTCAAATTATATTTACTGTTTGTCAGCTGTACGCAATTTTACTGACTTTGAATCTTTCTAGCATAACGTCTCGTAGCTGAGGCCACCGCCCAGAAGAACTACATTCAGATCAGTCCTCTATATTTAAGGAGAAGACTATCCCAGCAGCAACTTCCTAGGCGACTACATTCCAGTGACAAACGACTTTTTCTCTTGATTAATAAACAAGAAATGGAGTGTTGTTATCCTGACATAACAAAATAATTTACTTCTGATCTTGAGATAATGGCATTATAAAAATGTTTGAATCCATGACCGTAGATAACAAATAACAGTATTGCTCACATAAATTAGAAGATTTATATGATATATTAAATCATGATTACTACTGATAACTACTGCATACTTAACATATGTATTAAAAAGGATCAAAAGCGCTCATACCAGGAAACTCTATAGGCCTACACTTACATTTAAATATAATTTACTATAGCCCCTTGCTCAGTTTCTAATATTTATTAAATTGTTGATATAATGGCATAATGACTTACATTTCTTTTATGTTATTATTCAACATTTAAATCCTGTTCGTTTAGTTAATTTTGAAAATATCTATTTTGTTGTTACTTGTGAGTAACTGATGTTTAAATGTACCCTATGCATACACTGAAACCCTCCTTTCTTTAGTGTGATTCTGTTTTGAAAATGGAACCTTATTCAAATTGTCGATGGAAAAGCACGTTTGTCACCGTGCGTATCCTACATGTGGTATAAGTAGAGTTGGTTTAAAAAAAAAAAAAGTCTAGTGTAGGATTCTCTTAGCACCGCGGATGTATTTTCCTAAATCCCTGTTAATTTTCATTCAAATCTTTCCTGGACCTCATGCCGTTGTCCACTGAGATCAAGGAATAGTGTTTAGGGTTAGGAAAGGACATAGGACATTTTTTTTTACTTTTCGACCGCAACTGGACTAGACTGACAGCCGGAACAAAAGCGGAAAACGAAACAGTTCCTACTCGGACCTTCAATGAGATGCACACTGCAACATGGCGGCCAACATAGAGCAAATTTTCCAAGATTTTATACTGAATAAAATCAGAGAAATTGAAGAGCAGAATGAAGACAAAGCGTACGTCACTGTTGTGTTTTGTATTCGTCTTAGTGATACAATTATATACAATACAATTAGCTAGCTAACGTAACGTTAAGTGAATGGAATTGAACAACAATGATAGTTTTCCATCTTCATCGGCCGGTTGCCGCTCTGGTTTCCAAATTTACCATACAAGCTAATGTTAGCTATATATTACGTTATACACGCATGTCTATATTATAAATGCATATTTATAATATATCGGCTGACGGGCTACATCTGTTAACGGTTTTAAGTAAGCTGTAGGCTGTAAGTAAGTAAGTAGTAAGTAGTAAGTAGGCTGTATGCAAATAAAGCACCGGTTGAAAGTACCTCGTCAACAGAGTAAAGCGGTCCTGTTTGCACTTAATGTAATATTTAAGAACGGTAGATTATGTCGAATACAGACAGTTTTACAGGTTAAATAGCTAATTTCCATGCGTTCCTGTCAACATGCATAAAGTATTCCCCCCTTGCGATAAGGATTATTTCCCTTTCAGAGGAAGGAATACACACATAACGATTCGTGTATGCTTTTGAAAAATTACCAGACAACCTTGAGATATGTTTGCTGTTCCTGAGCAATAGTGACATATAATAAACTAAAAAGTCACTTTAAGGTGATAATTGTTTTGAAAATGAGATAGAGATAACCCATTCTCTTGTTGGGGCAGTCCTCTAAATGCAGTTTCAGATTTAAGAATCAAGAGTCACTTTAATTGGCAAGGTGTGTGTACACATACAAGAAATCTGAATCGGGTTTTATGTTGTTCTCAATGAACATACACAGAATAAGCATAACTAAAAATGACATATATACATATATAGATACACACATGCACCCACACACGTATATATAGATATATCATTATAGACAGTAGACTATGGTGTAGTAACAAAAAATGCAAGTAAATAGTAATATCCTCTTGTGTCCTGTGTGTCCATCAGTGCTGCTGAAGAAGTGGGTGCCAGCAGTGAAGTGAGTGTAGCAGAAGAAGCCACTTCACAGATAAACAAACAGGAAGACTCAAAGGGGACTGGTTCACAAAAGAAACATAAGAAGCACAAAAAACACAAAAGTAAAAAGAAGAGGAGGAACCGAGAGAAGGAGGAAAATGAGAGCAGTTCAGAGTCTGATGCAGAACTGGAGGGAGGAAACAAACAACCAAGGTGAAACTGTATTGGTGAACAGTTGTCAATACTCACAAACTGGTCTTATTCAAACAATTTAACAACACTGAATACACTTCCATAGTACCATGAATAAACAGTTGCCACAGACAAAGTGAAATGGTTGCCCACGCTAAAGCTGAACTGCACTGCAAGTTCAACACACGTGAATAGGCTACATAAATAGATGACCAAACAATTATACAACAGGGGAATAATGAAGACAACACATAGAGGTACGTATATAAAGATGTATATAAAAACACAGCAGCTGCAGCCCACAAACAGACATACACACAGTACAGCAAAACAAGACTCTTTGCACACTACAAAGTTAAATGTGAAGTGAAGTGCTGAGGATGAATTTAGCAGTCCTACAGCCTGGAGGAAGAAGCTGTCATTAAGTCTTATGGTATGGAAGTTCTGTAGATCTTTCCAGATGGCAGCAGGGTAAACAGGCTGTAGCTGGGTGGGTACTGTTTTTTAGTATCCTTTCCTTTGGCCTCTACGCAGGCACCTTACCTCACTGATATCACTGATGTCACTGATGTCAGGTAGATGAGTACCAATTTTATGAGCATTTTAATTACTGCAGTGCCCTCCTGTCCTGGGCCTTGCACATTCCATGCCCGTTTGTGATAGGTCCAGTCCGGATACTTTCTATTGCTCCTCTATAAAATTAACAAGGACTTGGTACAGGAGCTTTGTTAGGGTTCCTTAAAAAAACAGTAATGTCTGTGCTTTTTTAACTAATATGGAGAAAATAAAGCTACCTGCCACAAACTGCAGTTCCTTGAACTGCCACTTGAGCCTGGCTTCAGAAGTGAGTCAATCTCCTTAAGGTCCCATATTACAATGCCCAACTTCACAGCAAGAATAAAAAAATGTACAGCCTGGTAAGAAAAACGTGAAAGGCCCTACCTAGAGCCAGATATTGGTTTATCTGTTTGGAGCTACTGTAGAAACACAGTGGTTCAACATGGTGGACTCTGTAGAAAAGGACCGTTCATTGATTGCTGCCAATCATGAATGATGGGTTGCAGTCTGCCCTTCATCCCTTGTCCTTTGCAAAGGCTAACCAGATGGTGATCAGGTGACCAGAGGTGAGGGTGGACTCGATGGTGGTGTAGAATAGCACCATCATAGCGGTAGAAGAACATCCTCTGTTGTGCTTTTATGATGAGGGAGCTAGGCCTGGCTCGTTTTCCAGAAATAATCTGTAACGCTGTTGCTCTCACATGAGTGGCAAGCTAAGTTGTAAGTTGTAGAAAGGCCCAGGCCCTTGCCAAGGTGGATGAGGTGACACTGGTGGGCTGGAGCTGGTGGATGGTGTCACAGTGGACAGTGGACTGTCTTTAAATTACATAAAATATACACACTTTTAATCTTACTAGTTCTGTTTTCTGCTGTGAAGTGAAAGTGGGTGTGACCCTTTCAGAAGCCCTCTTCGGTAGTAAATCTTGACGCTGTTTAAACTGCCTGACATCATCTTCAGTGCAACAATGCAATAATACAGTTAACTGTTCCAGCTGTTCAGAAACAACATACACAGGAAGTCTACATTGGTCTTGAGAAGCTTCAGCCTTTATTCACTGGCAAATTGTAACCTACACTGTACATTTACTTACATTTACTAACTTCACTGCTCACCTTATCCTCTGCTCCATTGCAATCACTATCACTCTCTGCCACTTGCTCCCTTTTGCTCAACCACACACTATCTTTAGAAAAAGGAGCTGCTCTATGGTGACTGCAAGTTGTGGGGATAACTTTACTGATAAAAAAAGAAAAATGCCATTACCCCTGTTTAGGGGTGTTTTGGGTTTAGTCCCAGTGATAAAGATGAGCCAACATGGACGAAGATTTGTGCACATCATTTCTTTTCAGCCAACTGATGTGTTGGGATCTGCTGTGACAACCTGCGTCATCAAGTCCTCCAGCAAGAATCTATGGAAGAATGGGGATTATTTCCTATCTGTTATTATTCTATGAGCTTAAGTCTAAGACTTTTCTAAGTACGCTAATTGCATATTAGACAAAGCATTGTAGGCTAGACAATGTTATACATGCTATAGTGACTTCTATCACCAGTAGCTTAGCTTTTACTTGTTTTTTTTGGTTTTAGACAAATATCTTCTTATACTGGTAGTGTGAGTGTTTGGGTTTATTTTGAAGTCTATATATCGTTGTTTACAAAAAAGTTAATAACTGCTTTTCAAATGTGCCTAACTCAGGTTTTATCTTTGCTTCATAGAAGAGGAACACCAACAGAGGCAAATAAGGAGCAAGGTAAGTCTGTCTCTTATTATTGTGTGCAATTTGATGCAGTGTTATACAATTGTGTTTTTTTTAGAAGCAGCTTGTTTTCCATCAGTTATTTTGTTGATGTATTCCTTAACAAAAAAATGTGTCTGCCTACATTGCCACACTCTGACCTGACTGACCCCCATATCATGTAATTGCCAAAATGCAATCTTTAGGTATACAGTAGTTTCTGTTGTACAAAACAGAGACTGACACAGAGCTACTGAACTGTTTGTCCAGGTGAGGATAATGAGAGTAAGTCCAGATGCCACAAGAGACATTCAACTGGAAAGAGAAAGAAGAAGAAGAAGAGAATGAAGAAAGGTGAAGAGAACTCATCAGATTCCGACCTCCAGTTCGTGTCAAAGCAGAGGGATAGCAAATGTGGTTTAAGCTTATTGCCAAGGCGACGAGAGGAGTTGCCAGATATCATCCCAAAACAGGTAAAAACACCAAACGACATACAAAAAAATCAACACGTTTTCTTGATAATGTTGACAGAAAATAGTTGACCTAAGTTTACTTAGTATACAGATATATTGCTTTTGAAGGTTCTATTTGTAACTTTCCTGTTGCTCGCGCTGCATCACAGTCCGTAGGTACGAGTGAACATCCTCCTGGGCATTGGCCAAAAGTGACACTAGACCAGAAGTATTCAACTGGTGGCCACATCCAGCCTGCCAAATTTCCATCTGCAGAATGGCCACTGATATATAAATATGATTATTTATATATTTACAGTATAATGAACTAAGTATCTGTTGCAAAATACCTGGAGAAAGGCAGTATTAAGTCATTGTTAATACAGACTGAATATTTCCTACTGTTGAAGCTTTACATTAAGAGTATTTAACTGAAACGTGACAGCGTTGCATGAAGAGCTGTAGGCGACAGGCTGCAAACCTCCAACTTCTCAGCCACTTAACCAAAGTTACTTTCACTGTGGCTGTTCACAGACTTATTCGGTTGTGCAGCATAAAATAAGATTAGGGTTGCTCACAGAATGATAGAAGGCCAATTATTGTCTGACTTCTGTATTAAAAAAAGCAATTTGTTCAGAATTATATGACCTGTAGTATTAATTTCCATTTAACTACAGGTGTAAATGGTAAATGGACTTGTACTTGTATAGCGCCTTTCTAGTCTTCCGACCATTAAAAGAGCTTTTAAACTACATTTCACATTTACCCTTTCACACACATTCACACACATTCACACAGTGATGGCAAAGTCCATCGAACAGAAACTAACTCATTCATACACATTCATTCACACACCGATGCTAT